GCTGCGTCCACTGTTTGGTCTGCCGCCACTTGCTCAGGCGTTCGGTTGGCTCGCGCCTCCGACCACCACGCCCACCGAGCAGTAGCTGCTGCTTGGTCCGCCACCACTTGCTCAGGTGTCCGGTTGGCTCGTGCATCTGCCCATCACGCTGCAGCTGCTGCTCGATCCACCGCCACTTGCTCAGGCGTCCGGTTGGCTCGCGCCTGCACCTTTCTGGTTGCATCCGCACTGGACAGCTGGGGTGTCGGGGGGGAAGGTGTGGCTTGAGTCCGGCCCGTCAAGCTCAGAAGCCACAAGCCTCCACCTGCAACTGTACCTAACCGCCGACATCCTGCGTGATGTCAGGAAGAGGATTACTAGTCTACCGCCCATGCAGGAGATGGAGCAACATCACGGGCACCAGTCCCAACCAGGACTCCTTACCGGAACCAGAATTGTCCATAGAAATGGCCGGTCAGACTGATGTCGCGACAGGTTATCCTCCTATCCTCAAGAAATGCAGTTGCGGGCCAATGGAACACAGTACATCGATACAATATGGATGTATGTTGCGCAGTACCGCTGTTTGGTAGAATTGTATCCTGAATCCGTATGATAAATTTTATCCTGGATCCGTTTGACAAAATTAATAAATGCACTCGAGGGCCAATGGCACACATTACTTCTATACAATAACTGTGCTGCGCAGCATCACTGGTTGATAGAATGTTTTCTGAATCCGTATGATTCTATAGAATTTCTGCGACTGAATTTATCCCGGGGAACGTTGCGGTGTGCGCGACTTCACGTCATTTCGTGGCGGAGCCATTGTAGTCTAGTTTTCCACTGCAAGTCCTGTCCCACAGTGGAACTACATGGAACTACCCACAGCCACGCCCAGGCGTCCCCGGTTATCCTGATATTTTGTGATAAACGTTTAACCTTGCAAGTTCATGTCAAACAACACAACTACGTGCGTCTGTTGTTCGTTACCCACCACGTGCCCAGTCGTCCCCATGGCCTGACGGCCCAGTATCCGTGTGTCCCCGCCCACATGTTCACGGTACACATGCACGCGTCCAAGCTTCATGCACACGCCCATGTTACATCCTCATGTCCCGCGTCCACGCGTCCATGCTACATCCACGTGTGGCTACATCCACGGTGCCACCGTCCCATGCACCCACATGCCCACACGCTCACGCGTCCATGTGCCCTTGCATCCTCGCGTCCTCACGTCCTGGTGTCCTCGTGTCCTAGCATCCTCGCCTGCAACTCGTGTGCGACCCGTGATTCGAACCCGCGACCTGTCGTCCTCGCATCCTCGCGTTTCGGTGTGCAACTCGAAACTCGCGGAGTGCGACTCGAACCCGCGACCTCTGATTGTGAAGAGGGTGCGCGCTAACGAAAACGCAAAGCTCCGGAACCATCCAATCGAGCGCGACTTTCCAACGAGCCCCGGACGCGAGCCGGTCACGGACGCGACGAGGCGCGGTCCCTGCGGTCCCGAGGGTGCCGTAGCTCTCGTCCGGGTCCGGACACGTTCGGGTGCATCCGGATTGCAAATGCTTGCATATTGCAAATGCTTGCATATGCAATATCCTTGCATATTGCATATTGCCCATGCTTGCATATGCAATATCCTTGCATATTGCGCATGCTTGCATATTGCGCATGTTTGCATATTCCAAATGCTTGCATATTCCAAATGCTTGCATATTGCAAAGGCTTGCATATTGCATATGCTTGCAGATCGCATATGCTTGCAGATTGCATATGCTTGCAGATTGCATATATGGCGCAGATCGCATATACTTGCAGACTGCATCTGTTTGCGGATCGCATATGCTTGCAGATCGCATATGATTGCAGACCGCATATGCTTGCAGATCGCATATGCTTGCAGACAGCATATGCTTGCAGATCGCATATGCTTGCAGATTGCATTGCATAGCATAGCATAGCATAGCATAGCATAGCATAGCCTACATAGCATAGCATAGCATAGCATAGCGGACGGCATATGCTTGCAGATTGCATAGCATAGCATAGCATAGCATAGCATAGCATAGCATAGCATAGCATAGCATAGCATAGCATAGCATAGCATAGCATAGCATAGCATAGCATAGCATAGCATAGCATAGCATAGCATAGCATAGCACAGCTTGCAGATTGCATATGCTTGCAGACTGCATATGCCTGCAGACTGCATATGCTTGCAGATTGCATATGCTTGCGGACGGCATATGCTTACAGATTGCATAGCATAGCATAGCATAGCATAGCATAGCATAGCATAGCATAGCATAGCATAGCATAGCATAGCATAGCATAGCATAGCATAGCATAGCATAGCATAGCATAGCATAGCATAGCATAGCATAGCATAGCATAGCATAGCATAGCATAGCATAGCATAGCATAGCATAGCATAGCGCAGCATAGCATAGCATAGCATAGCATAGCGCAGCATAGCATAGCATAGCATAGCGCAGCATAGCGTAGCATAGCATAGCATAGCATATCGCATATGCTTGCAGATTGCAGATCGCCTATGCTTGCAGACCGCATAACGCATATGCTTGCAGATCGCATATGCTTGCATATCGCAAATGCTTGCATTTGGCAGATGCTTGCATTTGGCATATGCTTGCAGATCGCATATGGCATACGCTTGCAGATCGCATATGCTTGCAGGTCGCATATGGCACATGCTTGCAGACTGTGTATGCTTGCATAATGCAGATGCATGCGCATATGTATAACATATCGCATATCGTATATTGCATATCGCATATCGCATATTGCGTATCGCATATTGCATATTGCATATTGCATATTGCATATTGCATATCGCATATTGCATATTGCATATTGCATATTGCATATTGCATATTGCATATTGCATATTGCATATTGCATATTGCATATCGCATATTGCATATCGCATATCGCATATCACATATCGCATATTGCATATCGCATATTGCATATCGCATATCGCATATTGCATATCGCATATCGCATATCGCATATCGCATATCCCATATCCCATATCCCATATCCCATATCACTGCATATGGCATATCGCATACCACATACCGCATATCGCATATCGCAAATTGCATATCGCTGCATATCGCATATCGCTGCATATCGCTGCATATTGCATATCGCATATACATATATGCATATATGCACATAATGAAACATAAAACATAATCGCGGTAGGGATCGAACCGGCGACCTTCCGTTCTTTTCGGCGCGGTCTTAAGCGCGTACGGCACGCTCCCGACCCGGAATTTCCAAAACGCTCCGGACAACTAGACGCGGGCTGCTTCACCCGCGAGGGGGCCGTAGTCCCCCGGCTGGACGGCACGAGTCCGACGTAGTGTGGCTTAGTATGTTTGAGTAATGTGCTGACACATAAAGACGCGGTGCAATCCATGCGGTGCAGTGTGGTGCACCGAAGGAAGGAAGGCCAAAAAAGCAGAGAACACTTACCGTGCGTGACTATGGAGACCTTGCAGGAAATGTTGTATTTAACGCCATCCAGTATTTAACACCACCGCCACCGCCACCACCGCCACCACCACCACTGCCACCAACCCCACCGCCACCACCACCACCACCGCCACCACCACCACCACCACCACCGCCGCCACCGCCACCACCGCCACCGCCACCACCGCCAACGCCACCACCACCACCAC